AGTCTAGACAAATGTGCTAAGTATGTTCATTGCTCCTTCTTGGATGAGGATGAGACTCTCTTCCTGGACTACTCTTGTTTAATAAGCTTTCCATTGTTCATATTAAGCCAAGGATAACAAACTGGATGCATTCTTATTTTTCAGAAAAGAAACAGCATACTGTTCATGAAGGCAAGAGCTCCACTTCGTCGCTTACTGAAGCCATTATACCCTAAAGTGCAGTACTTTTTCGTCTCTGTTTTCTTTCTTTTGCATGGCTTACGTTATTCTGCTTAAATTAATTTTGCTGAATACGCTGATGATCTGACAGTTTCTTTACCAGTTATGTCTCAGATTGCTCTGAACTAAGTGGTTTTGTGTCTGTAATTGACCAATGGTCTCTTGCAAATGGTCTCAAGTCAAACCATTTTTTGATATCAGACTGTTAACTTTAACCTTAATCGTCAACAAGGCTTATGGGATCTGCTCAAGTTCCATGAGGCCTATTGCATTGATGGTATTTCTGCAGAGATTAAATCGAGTATTGCCTATCTGGGATTAAGTTTTACTTCTGATCTTTGTAGATTGTCTCATATCTTGTTGACTTATAAAAAATTCGTTCGTGTAACTTATGACATAAAGAAACTGAGGCTTTCTGGTATAACTCAACTTCTGCTTTTACAACTTAAGTCCTGCATTCTATCTATTCTTCTCTATTATTCCCCGCTGATCTTTCCTGGTCTACTAAAAAAAGGAAAATTTTATATCGCATAGGGCTTTGAAAGTCACCAGTAGGGAAAATGCTGTACCTCTAGCTCATCTGATTAATACTGTAGTTGGCAGACATTTAAATTATAGTAGACAACTGGGTATAGCCATTTTATCTAGTACTGACTATCCACTTTATTTACAGATCTCTCTTTGCACCTCTTTAGGGAGGAGAAGAAGAAGAATCTCACACTATTACGGCTAAATATAAGAATTCGATTGTCCCTTACCTACAACATCCTATGCGAGTAAAAAAATGTTAGGACAAAACTCATCAATTAATTCCATTCCTGCTCATGTCATCGAACAACTGAAAGAAATGATACTTTTATGTTGCTCATGTATATAAAGTAATACCAGAAAATATTATCTGACTCACGTAAGTTCTTATTCATTCCTGTAGATGTATTCTTTTATAAAAGCTATAAAGCACATTCTGAAAGTAAGGCAGTTTGTCTACCGACTCATGTAACTCATCATCATGATGTATAATATTCAGTGTATCATTATGAAAATCAGATAATATGATAAATTGTGTGATATTCACCTTTTTCTAGTCAACGACTACTAGCAAAGGGTGTTTAAAAATCCTTTAGAGGAATGACATTCCCATACACTTTCATATAGTTACCGATTTCTGAACTGAGCACCTTCGCTTACCAGAGACTTCTCAAAATCAGTGTTATGCTGTCTAGCTATTCGATCAAGTTATACAATTCCCATATTTTTCGTAGCTGAGCCAAAATCGCAATGTACTTCATGCAGCTGAGGACGTTTTCTGAACTCACTACTTATTCTCGTTAGTATTACTTTACATAACATACGCATAGTCTGAAATAAGTTAATGTTTTTTATGTAAGTCAAGATAAGAATTCTTCAGTTCTACAGAATGTCAGTAGTTTACTACTCAAACTGAAAGACTATTTGTTAAGCAAACAAGGCAAATCACTACTTTTAAAGTCCATAACTATTTACTAAAGTATTTTTAAATCGAAATCACATGCTAATGAAGAAATTTATCAAAGTTTTATTTATATAGGAAGTTTACCATCATTTGGAGATATAATTAAAACCATACTAATATTACTATTAGCAGATGCAGACAGAACTGAACCTGATCATGGAATTTTGAAAAACAACTCAAGATGACGTACACCAGTAAGAAGTATTTTTGTTTTTCCGCTTATCCCTTTACATAAACCGTACTCAAAAATATCTAGTTAAAACAACCTGTTTCTTGAAAATTTAAAAAAAATAAACCCGCTAAGTTTGAAGAATTAGTAGCCTTGTGAGTTATTATTTATTAGAGTTAATTTATTTGAACAATTCAACTGATATCCGTCTATGATGAATACCAAATTGAAAAATCTCTAATTCTCCACAAACCTCAAACTCAACAATTCAGCCACATGATACGACCATTTTCAGAACGATGAAAACACTGTGAAGGAGGCAAGCATGAAATGTCAAATTCATCTTCTAAGTCTTTCCGATGTCAGGTTGATATTCATCACAGATTGACATCCGCTGAAGAACTGTTAAAAACTGAGAGCAATATAAAACTGTCTCATTATAATATAGGACTCAGCAGCGAGCACCCTTAACCTCACCATGGTTTGAATCCAGAACCTTCCAGTTTTGCGACAAGCACGTTACCATTATACCCTGGAAATTAGAACTAGATAAAAACGACTTATTTTCAAGATCATTGTTACTCTATCACCGTCTCATCGTCATCTGTCTTCCTAACATTTGGATGAATTTAATATACTAGTTATTATTAATTGTGGAACTGGAGATACACACCAGTTCCTCAAATTATTAGGAACACAGTGGACAACTGAATTCCAATTGGGCATAATTAAAACGTTGTATCCCATAGATATAAATGACGGCAAAAAGTGTTACTTTATTCTTTTCTCATATTGGTTCACTAACTAGAGTTGTCAAGGTCGCTAATTGGCATAGTTAGTAAAATAATACGTAGTTCTTCTCAACAAACTATCTGCTGTTTGATAAAATTTAGCATCAATATGAATAAAAAGGCAACAGATACTGGTCACTGAATAGTTAGTATTCGATCAACATTGCTTCTGTTTGAAGGTGCTCTGTGCAACGTCATTTTCAGTTATTTGACCATTAAACTTCTCTTATACCTGATTGAATAAAGGCTATAGAATATTATATATTAACCATTGCTGTAGCTTTTGTTATCAATACTCTTATTTATACTATGCTTAGGTTTGAGGTTAATAAAAAGGTTGAAATTTTCTCAGTGGTTGTGCTCAGTGGAATCTAAGGGACGTATTTCATCCTATTTCTAACTTGCCAACTGGATGTACCTGTATCTCGATGAGTGATGATATTCCCACTAGCCAACACCAAGTTAATTACAACATAGTCAGTCTCCAGGCAACATCGTAGCATCAGCCAAGGAGATATCAATCAGTTCGATCAAATAAAATAACCTGATATTACAAATATCAATAAACTAAAGAAAGAAAACGCTAATATGATTTCTTTCTTCAGTTTCTATCAGAAAACGTAACATTTTTTCTTTTCTGATTAAAACTAAAGCAGATGATACAAGTATCTTTACAAAGTTAGTATACCAACTATAATAAATGATGTCTATGTAATCGAGCTGATGTGTTGGGACAAACGACATTTGGATTGATTATTTCTTAAGTTTTTTACATTCCTATAAGAAGATCATAATCTGTAGAAATTACTAGCTAATGTTATTAGTAGACCCATCGAAAACGGTATTTGCAGCTGTGAAAATCTACCCATCCTCGAAAAACACACTTTTTGGCTGTGACGCTTAGGAAAGATTCGAACAGTTACTTATCTAGAAGTAGTATTCATCACACACTGACATCAGTTGGGGAACCATTGGAGATCTGGGAGCACTGGACGGCTGTTTTGCCCTAGTATGGGACTCCTCAGCAGTACGCACCCACAACCCGGCTAGGGACTGAACTCAGGACCTTCGGGTTTCCCGGTGAACGCGTTAATCATTCAGCCACTATGGGGTCAACCAGTCGGAAGTGAAGTGGATGCTAACTGAAGACCTTGGGTGACAGTCGCGCTATGTCGTGAACTGACAGAAGTTTGAAATCGCTAACCACTGGAAACCGACCCACTGCTGAGGAGTTCCATACTAGGACGAAACAGCTGTACAGTGCTCCCAGACCTTCAATGGTTCCCCAACTGATGTCAGTGTGTGACGAATACTACTTCTAAATTCAGATTCACCATTCATATCGAAGTTACTTATCTGTCAGTCGATATCACTGGTCTTTGAATTACATCTACCTTCACAAGTGAAAAAATTCTTCATACCTTTGAATTTAATACGATGTAATTTACAAGTGCATAGCTAAGGTTTCATTGTTTAACAAAAAATGAAACTTGGTAACCCAACTAACAGTAGTAATTCATGAGTGTTAGATTTATATTTGTCCATGATAAGTTTTAGATTGAACCAAATTGCAATTATAAGCCGAATAGCCGATTATCATCTCAGGTGAAGATTCGAAACACATAAGGCTTAAATCCCCTAAAGTTTATAGGTACGCTATTGTAATAGAAACCAACAAGCATAAAGCTTGAACACATAGTTTAACGCTCATAATCCTCAGTCATCCACTTTATGTAAACTTTACAAGCGATCTGTTTTTGTAAACAAGTGATAAAATGTCTGGTTTTCAATTCAACATGTATAGACTGGATGAATTTTTTAGGAAGTAGTTGATCTGAAGATATTTTTCGCTAAAGCTTAACATTATTAAGCTAAAGATTGAAGACTTAGGAGAACAACAAGACTGCTTCATCTGAATTCCAAACTGATATGAAACAGCGTTCCAGTGATCCTTGGTTTTCTATGCTACCTTAATGGATGTCGGTACACAATGAAAACTGTCTTAACGACAAAAATAAATTAATTCTATATGGTTACAGCAAAGCATATGAGTATGATTTTTGCATAATTGGACTCTTGTTTAAGTCCAAGTCGTATGATACAACACAAACGTTAATAAAACTGCCGAAATAACTTTAACTACTCATGAGTAGCCAAAATGTATTTAATCAAAACGACAAAAAAGAGGAATAGCATCTGGCGTTCTATCAGCCAATGTAAAAAATAATAGGATTACAATTGGTTTTATGAATATATATGTATGCTTGTATAATAAATGAAGAAATCTGTACACTGTTCAACTGGTGAATAAAATCATATTGGAGTCGATTCATCTCATTTTATTCTCACGTTGTAATATTGTATATTGTCTAATAAAATAACTCAGAATAATTAATGCTGCTAAAAGAATCATAGTCATTAGAAGTAAGATAGCAACCAGAACTGTTATTGTATTTCTCAGCCAAACCAACTTCTGTTCACAGTCATTATCACTTTGTCTACTTAAGTAGCCTTCTAATACGGTTATGAACTTACTCATTGAAGCACATGATTCAGTTAATGTTTGATTTTGTGGTGAAATAGAAGTAAACTGTTTGGTAAGTTGAGGTGTTGATATGGTAGATGGTAGTTTAGTAGTTCTGTCTTCAGTAGTAGGTGATGATGATGATGATAATGTTGTGTATGAAGTAGAAAATGATGATATCCTAGATTTAGAACGTTTTGGTGATCGTTTTGCACGAAGATTATTATTATTTATCGATTGTGTAGTCATAATAGGTACTTGTTGAAAATATTTTTCATTATCTAATGTTTTCTTCAATGATACTGTATAAAAGTGTTTTGTATTTATTGGACATCGTCGTTCATGAACTTTTAAATCAGCTACCAATATAAATTCTGGATAATTTGGACAAGAATACCTCCAATAAACTAAACATTCATTTTCATTATTATTATTATTATTATCATTATTCCTGGTTAATTCAATTCTTGAATCTGGTAATGAAGATTCACGTGGATTAATCATTGTCTCTTCTTTTCTTACACAATCCTGTATAATAAAATAATCTAAAGATAAATTTGCAACAAGCATAACATCTAAGTGACGTAACATTTTACCATCTAATGAAATATATCTTAACCATGGTGATAATTTATTGAAATCATTTCTATCCAATCTAAACATTGGTAAAGCTAGTGTAAGATAAAGATCAGTTATAGGTTTAATATAATTTAAAATATAATTATATATTATAGTACTCATTCGATCAGAAGTAAATGTGAAAAAGTTGCTGTCTGATTCATTTGATAAGGTTCCTATAACAATATGTAATAAACGAGAGGTGAAATGTGTAACACACTGACTTGTTATTGATTTATTCCATTTACTACTCAATATATTATTATCAGTAGTTTGATTAAATATAGTTGAATTAAAACAATCTAAAATAGCGATATTTTTATCTGGTAAATGTAAAGCTGTTTCAGATACTTTTCTGTATTCTCTACTATTTATTTTAGGTCGAAGGAAACATTTAAAATTACACGGGATATTTTTATACTCTGAATTAATTTCTTGGATGACAATGATGATGGTGTTATAGAACGTGGATATCGAATAATTTCAACATTCTTCTCTATGTCTTCTACTTCTTCTTCGTCATCACCATCAATAGATTTGTATTCCTTGGTAGAAAGATGATTCAATGTTTCCAATACTTTCATAATGTCTTTTATAGCAATAGTCATGGAGTCGTTGATTGTTTCATCTTGTATATTATATAAATATCTTGGCTTTGTATCTATGCCAGTTATATCTGCATACAACATTACTAATTTAATAAAAATGAGTAGACTACAAATTGTTAAATTCATGTGTTGTTATACATTTTGTTAATAGTAATAGTGATAATGTAAGCATAGATATTTTGATGAATTTCTATGCGGATTTATAAATGACCTGCACCATTCATTTTTGTTCGCTGGTTATTTATCCCAAGTCGATTGAATGCCCTTAAAAACCTTGACAAATTCAAACCAATGATTGGTTAAAATTATTTTGTCCAATCAGTATTATTAGTTTGATGATTTCGTAGATGTGATAATAGAAAGCCCAGACATGGGACAGTTAGTATATACATACTTTTACAGGCTACGTGTATGTATTTTCGATACGTATGTATATACGTGTAAGCGTTCGATGCGTTTTGTATTAATTTATTCACAAATTGCACCAACACATACACAAGATACCCATGATTTGTACAAACTGTCAAAACTTTCAGTCTTGTTAGCTGTGCAAAATTCAGACAGTTCAAGCAAATAAAACTTCATCTAATGATGTTGATAAGTATACATATATTTTAGATTACAACAGACGCTTACGTAACGTTACAGAATACAGATGTGTTAAACAGTTGAAAAACCAATGATTAATTAAAACTAGAAAAAGGTGTTGAACAAACTTATCCAAATAACAAGTTATTAATTATTTTTCTTTGGACATAGATGCTTGGAATTTAGAATAAAGCCAGAAGAATGCAGACAATAGTCTAGTAGAATCTGATGAATACTAAGAATGATTAGTTGACGTAAAAGAAATTAGAAAATAATTACAAACAGTTGATAAGTATTGGATGACATTTTGTTATTTATTGTTGTTGTTAAAGGTTACTGTTAGGTGTTTTGTACAACAATTGGCTAAGTGAATTAAAACTGTTTTCAATAAAATCAGGTTCTACTTTTGGCGATCCCTGATAAATACCAAGTTGAAATCGATCAGTCTCCACAGTCCTCTAAAATAAGGTGATTGAGTACCCACTGGTGACTCTCTTCTAGTGATGACTCCTGAAGTTCTAGTGGAAATCGTGACCGATGGGGCCAACAAAGTCCAACCTGATGACAGTTACTCAACGATAGCAATGTATGAAGACCACGCTATATCATGAACTGACAGAAGTAGGCGAAATGTACCACTGGATTTCGATCCAGTGGCTCAATAATAGCATCCTGGCTATGGCATCTAAAAGTCTAGGATTCGATCTCTGGTAGGTGAAGGTCACAAGCACACACTACTGAGGAGACCCATACTAAGTAGAAACAGCTGTCTAGGGTGACAAGTTCTTCAGTGGTTCTCCAATTGGAGTTGATTCATAACGAATACAAAATGAAAAATTATTTATATGAGGAAACTAGAAACGATATAAATTAAGAAATGTACAGAAAAATCAAGGCTTCTATTACTGATGAGCTTTACAACTCACTTGGGATGACTTTAAGTCACCAGTTCATAAAAATTCAGAATAAAGTATGAAGTCTCCATAGTTTGGTGTCTGTCAAAATAGGAAATATAACTGAGTCAATTATAATCAGATCACAACTTTTGATAACTATCATTTTCATGGTGGTTGTAAAAATGCAGATACTCAAGTCTGTAGGAAATCTAAGAATCTACTACAGGAAGTAAGGTGACTAACACATCCACTAATAAATATAAGTAAAGAACGTTTGGTAGTTGTAATGAATAAGAATAATGCTTGTTCCCTGCCACAGATATTATCTGGTTGTGATAGGCTGCTTTAGTTTAGAGTTATAACCCATCCAAGTTACAGTGGATGAAGTGAATGTTCAAAGAGTTCAACTGCCAGTAGTCTGTGAGTAAAATATGCTGTGGGCGACTTGCCTAAAGCAGATGTTTTGTGACCTATGCTTTTATGATCCCAGGTTTATAGATCAGTCATTATTAAACACTGTTAGTACTACGTTTTCGTTAAGAAAATCACCTTTCATAGTGATAACAACCAAGAAATGCTAACTGGTTCACATCACAGACAGCAACTAAGTTTACCTACTCAATAACAACACGTTTTCCTCACCCCGTGGCAAACTTTCTGCATTCACTTTTGTCTATAAATTTAAACAATATTCAGCTTTCTTTGACTGTTCAATCTTTTCTAGAGGATTCAAGTTGGTGAAATAATGTGTAAGGAATCGCGAAACTACTCATTCATCTACATATACAACTCACATCCAGCTACATATTACGTGACTAGCCACAATTATAGAGTTTTTGGGCTGTTTATTTTTGTAGTGCTTCTAAGACAAACATGCGACTCAAGTGTTTCGACTCATTAAGCCTTACAGGTGGAAAATTGCAATATCACATTTTTCTCCCTTGGAGCTTCTAGGAAATCTTTGGCAATTAATGGCAGTTTTACAGTTGAAGGAGTAACGTTAATTTTTAGGTTATCAAGCACACCAATCAGCTAGATTCTAAATGACAGTTGCCCATGCTTTGTTCAGCTCTGTAGCATGATAAGAATTATGAAGGATACAGAAACAAGAATATAATTTTTTCTCATTTCTACTTATGCAGCCAAAGAGTGCAGTTTGGATGGATTGAAAGACAAGTCTTACCAAAAATTGTCTTGCTTCCTACTAAAAGCCTAACGTACCGATGTGTTCGTCTCAGCGAGCGACTTCAACAAACAAACAGTATGGCTATGCCGGCAAGAAGAGTACTTAGGTGATAAATCAGTGATTTCAGCTAAACAAGTGAAAACTGTAGCTGCTTGCATAACTTGTATCTGTTCCTAAGTAGTTCTAATTTGGAATTCGCTTATACAATCAGAAATCTCGGTCTAACAGAGATAATGTGGTATACTAAATTGATATTACGTAAAAGAGGGGATCACTGCTCTTTTGAAGTACATTTTTGGAAGTAAGTAACCTGCTGGTTTGAGCTAACACATGTCTAAGCTCTAGTGGCTGCAGGACAGTTACATAAAGAAGATCACTGACAATCAAATCCGAAAATGTAGACTTCAGGATCGTGCCTGAGTAAAGAAGCAGTTTTGGGCTGGGAATTCTGCAAAACTTAAAGAAAAACAAGTAATTTAATGGCAGGTAACTGTTTCACTTTACTAAAGAGACTAGTGCGAAGAAAGATGGTTGTTTCACTATGAACCCGTTGATGAGGTGACTCGAGTGATAATCAGGGCATTTTATGTCATATTTTTCTCTTTGTATGCTTTAATCCTGTTGATATCAGAACATCATTACTCTTTGCATTGGTTAACTTAGAGAGAAAATTAATGTTCTTGAGCTAAACCACATAAATGACTAGGCTTTCTTAGATGCCATATGAAAACGCTATTGGTCTAAACTTGTGTGAGTGATCTAATCAGATTTATTCATTAACACTAACATCGAAGTGATTTGATTGGTTCCTGTTTTCATCTATGGTAGTTTTTAGGTGGAGAAAAATTAGGCTTGGAAAAATCCCAACGCAAGCTAACTATGAAAATACTACTATTTTCTAAAAGTCAACATTCTATTGTTATTATTTGTCCCTTGAGTTTCTAATAGAACATAGAGATTCCATCTGGTCCTGCTGCTTTCCCGAATTCCAACAGCTTTATGGAATTCAGGACTTCGAATTTCTTTGAAGGGCTTGTGTTCGCTGGTAGCTTTGTTGCTGGGGTGCAGGTGGTATTTCTGGACTAGTTGCAGGTGTCGGTGGTGGTCGATTCAAGAGCTTTTTGAAGTGGTCAGTCCGTCGCTTCCTTCGGTTCTTCTCTCCGGTAACTAAGTTTCGTTCATTATCTTTCATTGGTTTCATCTGTGTTGATCTCTTCTCTTCCAGATTGTATCCTGGTTATTTGATACAATGTTGTCAGGTCTGTGTCTCTCCTACCTGCAGCCTGTTCTGCTTCACTTGCCACTGTGTCGTAGAAGTGTCTTTAGTCTGTGTGCGCACTCTTCCTCACTTCTGTGTCCAGTGTTTTATAGATTATACTCAGTTCCTCTTTTCATTGTTCATCCCTGCACTGTACTGGTTCATCTCCTGCTTCACCATCTTCCTCTCCCTGCTCTATCAGCTTCCATGTGTCCGTCGAGATCCATTCCTTGTCCTGTTTTTTCTCCCTCCCTGGTACGGTTATGCAGGTTTCATTCTGCATCTCTTTCAAAGAGTTCCAGTGTTCTTCAACACAGGTTTCTTCAGGAATGTTGCCTAATGTCTCCCATTTCGTCCTAATGGCTGACGTGATATCTTTTGTAGTTTGGTTCTTCAGTTTGTCTTCTGAGTGTTGAACTTGAACTGTGGTCGTCTATCACCAACTTCTTTGAAGGCTTCCAACTTGATTTTGTAGGTAGGTTCCGTGCAGTAGATAGTGAGTGGTGTGAACCTACATTTGCTCCTCTTCGGGATCTTGTGTCCGGTAGGCTGGCTGTGTCTCCACCTTCTTCAGATTGAGATGAAGTCGGTGTGATGTTTAGTGTAGTGTGTCCATCTGGTGAAATCAAATCCATATCTCTCGCTTTGTGAATATCCTTGGGTTTGTACACAGTGCCTCCAATCACCAAATCGTTGAATGCACAGAAGTCTGTCAACAGTTCTCCATTCTTTTTCATTTCACTAAATTGTTCTTGACCCATGATGAGTCCTCTTTCTGTGTTATCTCCGCCAAGTTTGGTTTTCATGTCGTCCATTAGAATTATGATGTCGCCATCTGGGGTGGGGTCTTGTCCATTACTGATTGTAGTTTTCTATGGAATTCCTCCTTCTTCTCTTGATCTGCATTATTTGTAGGTGCGTAGCGTAGCACTGTATGATTGTAACTTTCTTTCATTTCGATTTATATCTTGCTGTCATGATCCTGGATGAGGAGATTGATTCCCACTGCATGAGAGTCTTTGATGCTGTCGGGGACATCATGATGGCCACTCCATTACTAAGTGTGCTCATGGTTGTGGTCTGGGTGACAATATCAGAATAGATTATTGACTCTCCAGTTGACAGTTTGGAGAGTCCACTTGCATTTCATCTG